CTTGTTAAGAAGTTACTATGTTGCCAGAGGGATGAAAAGAAAATGGAGGAAAACGGCAATTAAATCAGTTCTTTGTTTGAAATAGCACAGCAACATTTGCATAAAAAGAGTGATTAGGACAAGCCGTATTTTTTGATTATTTCAGTAGTAGAGTCCATACTTGCTGCATCCAGAGTTCACTTGTGCCTCTGTTCTGGTAGGTTAGGACCGGCTGGAGCCCAAAGGGCCAGGTTTTGTCTGCCCTGAGTGTTTTCTTCCCTAGCAGGATCAGGGCAGTGAGTTCATCTTGAGGGCATCAGGTCCTGAGCCTTGCTAGCTCATTGGCGTAGCAGCAACAAGATTTTCACTAGGCATCTGTCAATAGGTCAAAGCCCTCCTCTGAACCTGGCTAGTAAAATCGGTGGCATATAAAATTTAATAAATAAATAAACAAACAACAACATAGAACTAGGACTCTCAGGCTTTTCCATTCCTTCCAGGAAAATGGACCGCCACTGCCAGGCCAGAGAGTATGCTATGCCCCTCCAATTAAGGACTTAAGAAGCTTCAAGCTGAGTTAAGTTAGTTGAGTACAGAGAAGAGTACAGAGAAGAGCAACAAAGATGATCAGGGGACTGGAGGCTAAAGCATATAAGGAACTGTTGCTGGAATTGGGTATGTCTAGTTTAATGAAGAGAAGGACGAGGGGGGACATGATAGCAGTGTTCCAATATCTCAGGGGCTGCCACAAAGAAGAGGGAGTCAAGCTATTCTCCAAAGCACCTGAAGGCAGGACAAGAAGCAACAGGTGGAAACTAATCAAGGAGAGAAGCAACCTAGAACTAAGGAGAAACTTCCTGACAGTGAGAATAATTAACCAGTGGAACAACCTGCCTCCAGAAGCGGTGAATGCTCCAACACTGGAGGTTTTTAAGAAGAGACTGGACAGCCATCTGTCCGAAATGGTGTAGGGTTTCCTGCCTGAGCAGGGGGTTGGACTCGATGACCTCCAAGGTCCCTTCCAACTTTTATTATTATTATTATTATTATTATTATTATTATTATTATTATTATTATTATTATTATTATTATTATTATTATTATTATTATGGATCATCGCACAGTCAGCCAGATGTTCAGACTGCATTTGGAATTTTGTCTACCTATCAAGTCCTTACCAAGGACCTGGGATAGGCAGATGTGGATGTTTGGTGGTATTACAGATATCGTAGCAAGATGGAAGCAGTTCCTAGTAAGGCCGCCTTTTGCAATTGACTAATGGTGAATTTGTCAATGCCAATGGTGTTCAAGTGGTGCTCAAGTTGTTTTGGGATTGCACCCAAGGTGCCTATTACTACTACTACTACTACTACTACTACTACTACTATTATTATTATTATTATTATATTATTATTATTATTATTAGGCTTGTGTGCATGTAATTGCTGGGCAAGATGCTCTCCTAGTCTTTTCTCTTTGAAGAAGGGCAGCTCCTTCTTCGGATGTCTTGAATCTGGAGCCAAGGACTTCCCTTTCCATCTGGAACAGAAGCTGTCACCATCTCCTAACACAATAAAGAGCACCCTCAGAGAATATATGCAAGCGAAATAAAACACCAATTCTTAGGACCACTTAATCAAGTCTCTTCTTGTAGCTGTTTAGCATTTATTGCTTCTTTCGCTAACACCCGTTTCACTTAGTAACAAAAGCTATCAGTGGCGTTCAACCTTTTGGACAATTTTTTTTCCCCAGTGCCCAGAAGGGTGAATGAAGGCAACTGTGATTGTGATGAAGATAACAGGGCATACAATATTTATATTAAAATACACATTGATTTATACACATCTTTATATAGCTAAACATATAGGCACAATTGGCTTTAAACCTTTGAAATTCCATGCCACTGGGTTTAGAATGAATCTCAGTGGGACAAGGGCTGGAGAAGGTTGTTGTCAGGGCCAAGATCCCATTGACGTAGGCTCCATTACAGATGTGAGATTGGTTGCAAATGGGGGTAAGGGGCTCCATTGATTTAAGCCATGGCATCTCAGTCAGAGAAACAGGACCACAGTTGTTCTATCCTGATCATTATTAAATTAAAGAGGAAAGAATACAGGCACAGCCACCTAAGTACATATGTTTGTGTGCTCACACACCTCTCTCACACAATCCTACAAGCACACTTTATCACCTGAATGTTCTTAGCCTGATAGCCATTGAAAAGTGTGCGACTTAAGACTCTCTACCTACACTGTCCTTTGGGATGAGGTGTGTGTGTGTGTGCGTGTGCGTGTGCGTGTGCGTGGGAGGGAAGGAGACAAGAAAAACAAAAGATAAAAAAAGCCTAAAAAAAAGTATAGCGATGGAGAAAAACTAAGGAATTAAACCAGAGCGTTAAAAACTTGCGGGCGTTCCATTAAATCCAGAAATCGCAAACAGGTTATCAAAAGCGCTTCCCAAAAATCTGCCCCTTAGCACAAGGAGATATTAAATATATTTCAAGTCTTTCCAAGAGTCGTTTTGAAAGGAAGGCGCTCCCAAACTTCCCCGTAGCCTCGGATCAAGTAACGGTGTCCTTCAGTTTGGAGACGATTTTCTTGTCTTTGACTCGGCGGTTCTGGAACCAGATGGTGACCTGCCTTTCGGAGAGGTTGGTGGCTGCAGAAATCCGTCTCCGCTTGTCCTTGTTAATGAATTTATTCAGGGCGTATTCGCTCTCCAGCTCCTTCAGCTGCAGCTTCGTGTAAGGCACCCGCTTCTTCCGCCCACGCCGGTACACGCACAGGTCTGGCTGGTTTAGTGCAACTTCCCCTGTGGGAGAAGAAGGGCAACAAGTGAGCAACAAGGAAAGGGGACGTTTTCCCCTGTGGTAGCCGAGAACACAAGGTGCCACAAAGGGAATTAGTTCCAGCGCTTTGGCCGTGTCCTCTCCTTCCCCTCGGAGGTCTCCGGACAGACGTTCCAGGCAAGCGGCAAGCCTGCCAGCAAGGAATAGCTGCCTGGCATATGTTACAGCATGTTCTGGGATAATTTCTGTGCAGCCCCCCCGGAATAAAACTGCAGGTTCCTGAAGGCTGTCGACCTCTTCCAGTTTTATTAAGAATGGCTGATCTTTCTCTTCCCCACCCCCTCCTCCACACTTTCACACCTGCTTTGATTGGGAAAGAATAGCTGCAGGGACTGGGAGCATCCTCGCCCCCCCTTCCTCTCCACCCCAAGAATAAATCCAGGGGAATAAGCTTAGGGTAACCTAAAAGTGTTTTTTTTTTCAAAAGGCAGCTGGACTCCCCCCCCTTCTTGAAGATTTTTTGCTTCTCGTCTACAGTTCTTTAGGCTTCTTGGATGAGAAGCGAAGCGTCTTCAAGGAAAAGCAAAGTCCAGTTGCTTTTTGAAAAAAACACTTTTGGGACAACCTGGAAGCCTCCACAGAAGCTTAGGGTAACTTCAGAGGACACCAGTGCAGGATCGGGCCACAGCGCTCTAGTCCTGCTCCAGACCTAAGTTTAAATAACTACCCAAACTAGAGCTGGTCTGGCTCTGGGGCAGAAGCATTCAGTTCCTTCTTAGTTATTTATCCCCTCCTGCGATGATTTCGATTATTTTCCTGTAATTTAGGAAAGCTCTGACACCACAATCGTTAGGGAGGAAACGAACCGAGGACTATAGGGGACCAGGCTGGCGTCTGTTTTAGGCCTGGCCGAACATTTCCGCCAGCTCGAGGGAGCAGAGAGAGTCTTTGCAGATTTCGGGCAGGCAGCCATTGCTTCTCGGGCCTTCTGGGCTGAGCGCGATGGGGAACACTTTAGCACCTGGTTTTCAAGTCCTCCAGGAGGCGAATAGTGAAAACAACACAATCCGAAGCTGGCCGATGCGTGAACCTTCCTTCCTTCCTTCCTTCCTTCCTTCCTTCCTTCCTTCCTTCCTTCCTTCCTTCCTTCCTTCCTTCCATCCATCCATCCATCCTTTCCTTCCTTCCTTCCTTCCTTTCCTTTCCTGTCCTTTCCTGTCCTTTCCTTTTCCTTCCTTCCTTCCTTCCTTCCTTCCTTCCTTCCTTCCTTCCTTCCTTCCTTCCTTCCTTCTCTCGCAAACGTGCAAGACAGCCTTCTCTCCTCCGGAGCCCTTCAGAGCTCAGACTACCATTCCCATCATCCCTGGACATTAACAGGCTTGGTCGTCCCTAGGATCAGGAAGCCAATAGACAAAGGAAGGCCCAGCAAAGGTCAAGGGCTTCTCAAACCGCGGCCCTGCCTCGACCTTTCCCAGGAACCCCAAGGCTTTTCTGCCCGGCTGCCCGGGACGCGCCTACCTGGGAAGGAAGACTTCCAGAAGTGGGAGCTCGGGGCCTGGTCCTTGGGGCAGTACACCTGTCCGTTCCAGCCGTTGGCCAAAGTCCAAGACTGGTAGCCCTCCATGGAGATGTAGGTCTCGTGCCGGGGTTCCCCCGGAGGTGCCGCCGGCCCGAAACTAGAGACCACGTCCAGGTAGCCGGGGGGCACGTGCTGGTAAGGGCCGGCGGCGGCCGCGTAGCTCTGGTAGAAGGAGACCTCCTTGGCCCGCGAGGAAGCGTCGCCGCCGCCGCCCGAGGTCGCGGGGCCGCCCCCCAGGCCGGCCACGTCCATGTACTTCTCCGCCGGGAAGGCGCCGTGCGGGGCCGCCTTCAGGGCCGGGTTCTGCTGGAGCCCCACGCCGTGCGCCATGCGGCAGCTGTAGTAGCCGTGGCCGAAGGGCGGGTAGCCCGGAGGGTAGCCCAGGGCGGCGGCGGCGGCAGCGGCGGCGGCCGTCGTGGCCGAGGACGGTGCCGCAATCGGAGGTCCGGCGGCGCAGTCCTTCGACGAGGACGCCGCCGAGGAGGAGGAGGAGGGCGCGGAGCGCGCCGCGGTCCCCGGGCCGGAGCGCTCGTAGACGAAGCCCGGTCGCGTCGAAGCCGGCGGCGACGACCCGAAGACGGGAGGGGAGAGAAAGCTTCGGCCCTGCGAGCAGCCCCCGCCGCCCGCCCCGGGCTCTCCGCGCAGCGCTTCCATCTCCCCGGGCGCAAGCCGCTCGGCTCAGGCTTCCCGCGCGAAGCAGCCCCGCTCCAGCTGCCTCCGTCGCCGCCGCCGCTGCTGCCGCCGGTCCTCTTCCTCCCCGGCTTGGCCCTCCGGGGAAGGCCTGCGGGCGCTCATGGCGGGCGGGCGGGCGGGTGGGACGGGACGCGGAGCGAAGGAGCGGCGGAGCGGCGGCCTCCCTCTCCGAGCGCCCGGGATGGTTTATAAAAACCAAGGCCACGCTGGGAGGGGGGAGCGTCGCACCCGGCCGTCCAAGGAGCTCGTCCGGGGCCTCATTGGTCAGGCGGCGCACGTGTCTCTGTCTGCGGGGCGAAGGCGGGGGGGGGGTGAGCTGAGCCGGCGATCCCAGGTCTCCGCTCCCCTCCCTCCGCCAACTTCGTTTGGGACTTCGCTTGAGTTCTCTCGAGGCAAGGCAAGGCAAGGAAAGGATAAAGGAAAGGAAAGGAAAGGAAAGGAAAGGAAAGGAAAGGGGAAAGGGGAAAGGAAAGGAAAGGATAAAGGAAAGGAAAGGAAAGGAAAAAGGAAAGGAAAGGAAAGGAAAGGAAAGGAAAAAGGAAAGGAAAGGAAAGGAAAAAGGAAAGGAAAGGAAGGAAGGGAAAGGAAAAAAGGAAAGGAAAGGAAAGGAAAGGAAAGAAAAGGAAAGGAAAGGAAAAAGGAAAGGAAAGGAAAGGAAAGGAAAAAGGAAAGGAAAGGGGAAAGGAAAGGAAAGGAAAGGAAAGGAAAAAGGAAAAGAAAGAAAAAAGGAAAGGAAAAAAAGAAAGGAAAGGAAAGGAAAAAGAAAAGGAAAGGAAAGGAAAGGAAAGAAAAGGAAAGGCGAAAAGAAAGGAAAGGGGAACTTGGAAAGGGGAAAGGAAAGGAAAAAGGAAAAAGGAAAGGGGAAAGGGAAAGGAAAGGCAATGGGGGGGGAAAGGAAGGGAAGGAAAGGCAATGGGGGGAAGGGATGGGGAGAAAACAGGAGGTAATAAAAACGGAAATACGAAGATGCATCCCTACACGTAGACATATTTACATATGTTCGTGGGCGCCCTCTCTCTCTCTCTCTCTCTCTCTCTCTCTCTCTCTCTCACACACACACACACACACACACACACACACACACACACACACACACCGAGAGCCTGCCTGCTCTCGCTTTTTCACAAAGACCTGGGGAGCGACATAGGTTTCCAATAGTCCATCAAGAGGAAGGAGTGGGCCCAGAATCAACAGGCCTCCGTTTTGAGGCCCTGGCTCTCGGTCGGCTGCTCCCGCCTCCCCTCCATGAGCTTAACCTTTGGCCTTGGGCGGGGGCGGGAGCGGGAGGTCTCCAGCATTGGGCTGAAATGAGCAGAACGTTTTACTTGATTCATGTGATCCCACGTTAGATTAAAAAAAAAAAAACTGTTAAGAAACTGGGCGTAGTAGGGCAGGAGGCGGGAAATGCCTTTTTCAGTTCGGAGCGTCCTTTGGCCATTGAATTACACTTTCGCTCCAGGGAGTTGTTTCGGTTACTCTCGGAGCCTTCTGCTCTCTGCTCCCCGAACCCAAAACCAGTCTCTGGGCCACCTGCAGAATTACTCTTCTTCTCCGAGTGCGGCGGCTGCGGCAATTCTTTTCGAGTTGTCCTTTCTCCCACTCCGCGCGTCTGCGTGCCCGGCTGACGCTCGAAGTACTTCGTTTATTTTATTTTATTTTTTCTCGTCGTCGGGTCGGTTTACCGATTGTTTTATTCGACTGGCAGCCGCAATAAGGATGAAGACCCTGGATAGGCGCGTGCGGGGCGGGGGTGGGGAAAAAAAAGTGATCTGTGAATGTCTGCAATACTTATCGCCGGTACAGTCGCTGAGAGTCCATCAGGGGCGCCCAGAATGGACATCCCCGGAATTTCTGGACGCTGAAAGAATTGAGGTACATGTGCCACTTTCTGCAGCCCCCCCCCGCGCAGTAAAGTTCCGAAGAGCCTATATAGGCATCTCCGTTTGGCGCATAAACGCTGGGAGTTTAAGAAGACAGGAAAAAGTCAGCGCGAGTCGCCGTTCACTTCAACCCTTTACGTGAAAATAAAAATTTTCCCGCCGCCCCCCCGAAACGAAGAGGACGGGAACTGGGGTTGTTGCATGCAATTTTCCATGGAAATTATTTCCCGACTATCTCTCGTATTCTGGGTGCTTCTGGCGAAAGCCGGATATTCCACCCCTGCCCCAAGTCTTTCTGGCTTCCAACACTGGGAAGGCAACTTTTCACCGAAGCCGACAGAACTAGGTTCTAGCACACAGCAGCCCAATTTGGCTAGCTGCTCTCCCCAGTTTAATCCTGGTCCATTGAGTTCTGGAAGGCTCTAGCTTAGGGTGGACTTTGGGCCCCGAAGAATATCGTAAAGCTGGGGCAAGGAATTTTGTCTTAGACGACAAATGTACTTACTTACTTGTTCATAGGTAGTAGCTGGGTAGAGAAGAGAGGGAGGCGGGAAGAAAGGACAACGCCTGTGAAACTAGTTTTTTTTTGTTAACATACTCTCTGGCTAAAGTGCCTTTCAAATCCCTTAGCATCTCTGCAATGGGAAAGACCCCCCTTTTCTCCCCTTGATGGAAGAACTACTCTAATAAAGCAGGCAAACTAAATCTGTGATAAAGTGGGAAAAGCCTGTTTGATGCTAGCCAACAAATAAATCTTTGGGTGGTTGTGAACCCCAACAGCGGGGGCAGCCGAACAAAGCAATCCGCTCCAAGCGACCCCCCCTACCCCCCAATAGTTAGAAAAGCAGTAAACATCTTTCTGTTGGATCTTTGGGCTCGTGTTATTAGCCTTCCTCATGACTCTGTGCGGGTTTTACAGAAGAAGTGAGGAAAGGCGTGGCAGCCAGAGGCTGGCAACATACACAACCACATACAGAAATCCACCAGTATTAGTCCTGGGGTGCTTATTTTAACTTTCTACAAATTGCTCTTAATCCACCCTTGAAGCCAATAAGCAAAACTAACACCGTACTTGTAGTTTATGTTAATGTATTGCATCGTTACTGCACTTTTATCCCTGTGCTTTTATACTCTCTATATAATATCCTATGTAGGATATGCAGTGACTTTTAAATTTTTATGACCCTGTTTTCTGGCCTGATGGCTGTAATAAAGTTATTCGATTTGATCAAGGTCTTTGCTTTCCCTCCTGTTTAAATCTAGCTCAGATTTGTTCGTGGACTTGTAAGGCAGAAAGTGTGCATTTATGTGTGTGTGTGTCTGTGTGTGTGGGGGTATTTCAGCTCAGCTGTATCCCACCTTTTCTGTTGTCCTTTATTATACAGACTTCGGCTATATTCCTCATTTGGAAATAGACTTGACATAAAGTAAATCTGAGAATGGAAGGTAAGCTCCCCTATTTTGGGCAGTCATCCCCTGCATTTCCTAATCAGGGAATAAGCCGCTCTGAAATCAAGCAAATTTATTCCCAAATCCAAAGGTTGCATCTGTTGCATTCAGAAATAATCCATGATGAATGGAGCATTTCTTCTGCATTGAATTATATAACCTTCAAAAGTTTTTTTGGGGTGGTGGTGGGGGGAGCTGAGAAGTATAGGAAAATAAAACAAAAGAAACAGAAAACCCCCGCTGCACGTTCTCAGCACCGGGAGAATCAAAATCATGTGCTAGCAAGGAGAGAGATCCACTCTGAGCCACTTTCTGCCCTTGTGACAAACCCGTGGCTCTGATTTTGAGGGACCTGTTCCAGATGGGCCGTGTTTTCTGGACGGCACCACAAGCTGCCATTGTGGAATCTGGGAGTTCACCCTGCCCTATGAGTTTCAACAAACAAGGGCAGGAGAAAGGGATATTAAAACAAGGATTTGCCAAGCCTGACCTGCCCAACCAGATCGCCCACTTTGAAAAAGCAGCTTTTTGCTCCCAACTCCACCCTTGTGGAATTTTTTTCTTTCTCCGTCTCCTGGGCACTTAGACAAATAGACAAGTGTCGTAACTTAATTGCCTCGGAAAGGCCATTTCCAAAATCAAAAGCTATTTTAATTTTTAAATCTCTCCCAAGCTTCTAACCCCCCCTATCTCTTTTAACGACATATTAAGAGGCAAGGACTAAGTTTCAAATTATTGCCTTTATTAAGCCAAGGTGTGTTCAAACAGGTGGAGAAGTGGTAGCATTTAAGGATAGAAGAAAACTCTGGCCAGATTATCACTTCAATTGCCTAACTTGCATCATTGACTTTTCTTTAGGGGAAACCTCTTCATTTATTTTCAGTGTTTGGTCTCCAGTGTTGTATTGAATGAGATCGCTTTAAGATAGTACTGAAGGTTTTTAAAATACTAGCCATAGTTTCATAGGAACACAATCCTGCTTATTTTGGAAATCCAAATATTCTTTGACCACCCTCCTTCTCCTTCTCCTCCTCCTCCTCCTCCTCCTCCTCCTTATCCGGTTCACTTTCTACTTCCTCTTATTTTCCGTTTTTTTAAAGTTCAGAGCTTGTACTTCCTCAGAGCGAAGTCTCCAGGATTCCACTGTGATTTAGGTTGTAGACCAGGCAGAATGAAAAGCACGATGCTGCTTCACTTTTGGCTTCTTCTGCCCTTAGTGGGTCGTTGGGTCTGCCAAAATAGTAACACTTGCAGAAAGAGATGCAGTGTAATCTATTGCTTGCCCATTTGAAGTCGTCCCACTGAGTTAAATCAAAGGGAACTCCATGAGATTTAATGCCAATAGATTGGGGTCGGGAGGAACGAGTTATCAGATCCAGGCAGAGCAGTCAAAGTTCTTCGCAAAAGATTTTGCTCCCTTCGCTTAAACATGACAATGAATTGACTTAGTGACTTCTGTTGAATTCAGCAGCAGACTAAAAACGCTTAACTTAAATATTGTTGGAGTGGTTTAAATGCAAAGTCTTCAGAGTCTACACTGGAAACGCATTTTTAACAACACAGTATTTTATATTGTCGTATTGAATAAAGTAAAATAATATTTTTTTTACTGTATTTGAGCTTTGTTTTTGT